TTTTTCGATCAATACCAGACGAATGACGGAGCAGTTCTCTAACAAACGGGCACAGACCGCGCGCGATCTTTCCTTCCCCTCATTGTACTATCTTCTTCCCTTACACATACATTTACATGCACTATACTACCACACATGCTGGGAGACCGGTCGGTATATTAGATTGTCCCGGCTGGGGTGGTGTTCCCGCTGGTGGAAGATACCTGGTCGGGGTAAACCCCACTGGCTGACGGTAGGTCGGCGCTGGATCTCGCCAACCAGCGAGGCAAAACCACCCCCACCTCCCCAGGAAAGCCATTGGCAATGCCCTTCACAGCCGGTTTCCAACTATGGGAATACAGGTTCTCAGGAGCCTCATGGAGAATTTGTGGTGTACAAAGAGACATTTCAGCGCAATTTCTCGGAATTCTGCAGCTTCCTTTCCCTCAAATTTCGCCATAACATCAGCAACGATTTCATTGATATTCACTCATTCAGTCATGACCTTTATTCTTGAGGTCAGCAGGCCAACATCCCACATGCAGGAATTACCTATATTCAAATCCCTTTCATGTTATTCAAATTGTGTCATGCACAATTTACGGTGAAGAAAGGGCCAAAGGAAATCATGATATCATTCCAATTACCCGCACATACTGATCAAATTATACCTTAAAGGTAATTCATCATATGCGATATTTCACCAACAAAGAATTATATACAATTTTTAACACTGTAAATGAACACGTTCTCTTATCTATTCTACAGGGTACGTGGCATTTTTATGTTGTTAAAGTTAATCAGAAATTTTGAATAATAATAATAATAATAATAATAATAATAATAATAATAATAATAATAATAATAATAATAATTTTTATTTAGCGTTGAGACTGTGATAATAAATCTTACCATTCTGCCGAACTTGTGAAATGTAAAAGTGTTTTAATGACCGAAGGAATTACGGCACACAGTTGGTATTGAGTTTATTCTGTTGAGAGACGCAGCAAGTGCGTAGATATCCTCACTTCACTCGCCCCACTTAACCCCCTCAGCCAATTGCACAGCGGGAGCAACGGATAGCGCGTTAGTGTTTCTCGGATGCGAGTGCGTGAGCGTGCGGAAGGTACATTTGTCTTCCTGGCCGTGCACGATTTGCGGTGACATAAATTCGTGCTTTTTTTATGTCTGGAAAACAATGTTACTCATAGTAAATGTAAAAGAGAGGGATGTGTACTTCCTATCTCTATAATGAAATATTAAAAACCGAAATATAATGAAACATCCCAAAGAATTTCCAACAGTTATTCACCCTTGATACGTAATGGCCATGTAAAAATAATGTCATAAAATCGAACAATTCAGATATGTGTTTTCATTGTATGGGTGTTTAAAATGTTGCTCTTACAATTGCTTGAGTAAATACAAACCAATTCTGTGCAAGTAAATGTTTTATAAATTTGAAATTGAATTTACTATAAAACACTATTGCAATATTGTGGAATGTTTTCCGTTATGAATGCATGGGAAATATTCCGAAATCCGTAGGTATATTTTCATAAATATTGCTTTCTGCTATTTCGTGGGTAGAAACGACTGAACTGGCGTAACACAAGTTTTACAAGAAAGCAAATTTTATTCTACCTTTAAAAGTCCCACTTGTTTGCATTAATAAACTCATCTTTCATTAGACTTTGTGAAAGTACTACCAAGTTCAACATCGTAGGCGGGTTAATAGCAGAAATTAAAGATACAGACGTGAAGAAATATTATTAATTTTTTACTGGTACTTAATAGCTTGTTATTGCCTTTGATACGGAGATCGATATACACTGCATCACTTATCTGGATCGAGAGGATCGTGATTACGAAGGAAATATGAAAACAGTTGAATGGTGCTGCATGTTCTCTTATGGAGAGAATTATAAAAGGGAATTATGGGAGGGAAATATCAAAAGACAAACTGAGTCAAATTAACAACTAGTTAATTAATGAATAAGTCAATTGGAATCATTAAAATTACGTTAAAATCATGTTTGTACCACGGGCGTTCACTGGTTCTAATGATCTCGGGAGACAAAGGCCCTCGGGGTTTTTGTCGCCGTTGATCATTAGAGCCTTTATAACACCCTTGGAGCATAAATGACAATTTCGTAACATATAATATGAATGCTATTCGATGAATGGGTTCGAAAAATACTACATATCTTCTCTACATCTCTTCTCTCTCTCTCTCTCTATCTCTCTTTCTCTCTCTTTCTCTCTCTCACTCCCTCTGTCTCTCTCTCTCTCTTTCTTTCTCACCCCTCTGCCCTCTGTGGGCGGCTCACCCAGTGCCTTGGTAATCGCCATAGCATCACTTGTGTTTTTCACTTGTTTGATTCGATCGTTCGCGGTGTAAGAGATTGTACTGAAAATCCTGCAAAGGAAACCAGCAGAAGGAAAATCTTTCTTGACTAACAACATTAATCCTCTTTAGTACATTATCCGATAAGTGGTAGTTGATGCAAGACAAGTTTATTATTCTGAGCCTGAATGAATCAGTCCACTTCCATTGTCGTTAGTGCCGCCTGCTTAAGGAGAATCAGGCGACGCCGAACGCTCGATATTGGCCGAATGATGGCCAGCGGTGAGGTGGTTAAGGTCTTTTAGGAAGCCACGTTCTTTAAGTATTTTTTCGGAGTCATATTTTATCTCAGAAGATGTAGGCATTCCTCCCCCACTGGAAAGTGAGATTCGGTTTTCGCTGTCAGAATATCTTCAAACGGGCAACTGTCTACGAATCCGGCGTGTGGTAATTTAATGCATGTGGGTATGTGTGTACGAGGAGGAGATGGGACAAAAATGAATATGGAAAGATCGCGCACGATGCGGTTTCTCCGATCAACACGAAGAGAATGGCGGAGCAGTACCCAAACATACGGTCCACGGACCGTGCGCGATCTTTCCATCCTCTTCCTTGTCATTTCCTTGCCGCTGACGCACACACACACACACACTCACGTGTACTGAACTACGACACATAGCGGGAGACAAGTCGGCAGCTTAGAGCTTGTTCCGAACAGGGCGGTGCCACGGTGGAGGAAGAGACCTGATTGGGGCAAATCACTGAAAGCCGACGTAGCTCGGCTCCGGAGACCTTAGCAGTTGATGCGCTCGGAATGATTAATCAATCAATCAATCAATCAATCAGCTGCGTGCACTCGACTACCGACGTCGCCGACATCGCCGTCGCCGCTGCTGCTGAGCCTCGGTGTTGGCCGTCGCGGCGCAGTCCCGCCACGGCCGCCGCGCGTGCGTCAATTCACACGTACGGACGTAATCTCACACGCACGGCCGTGCACGCGGACACGCGCCGCCGCACGTGGCGTCCCGACGCGCCTCGCCTCCCGATGGAGAGCCCGGCGCCGCCGAACGTCCCGACGCTCGCCATTTGCCCAACGGCGTCGGGGCGGCGGGGAGGTGACGAAGGTGGGATTCCGGAACCGCCTCCTCTAAGCGTTTTCATATTTCGGAGGCAAACGAGCTAGCGTTCCAACCGCTGCAGTGGGCCCCAGATTATTTCTTTTTCGCGCTATTGAAGCAGGGTAAGACTATTAGCAGCACTGGAAATGAGAAGTACGAAGAATGAATTGAAAGTGAATGCACAGTACTGATATAATTAGAATCTATTGTGCTGTTTTGTATTAAATTTATATTAGTATTCTTTTAAATAGAGTTTCCTATATTCTAGCATTATTTAAATCAATCTGGTTATAAAATATTTCCAGATTTCAATTTCGTAAACGATAAATATCAATATAGTTTGATATTATCTCCAGAAAAAAACGGGCTGATCGAGGTTTCAAAGCTTGGTTATGACAGTTTAGCAGCGCATATAACAGCCAGTAATACATCTGTGAGCAAGATAAATCTCCAGATTAAATATTTTATCAGAAAACGTTTGTTGTAGCCAACTCATATCAAGGCTTTGAAAACCTATCCCTTGGCATATCCCTGGCATGGTGTCTAGTCTTTTTGTTATGCGTTTCTGAATGTGGAAATAAATGCAACTCAAAACTTTTTTCTGTTTCTTTGTTATCGAAAACCAAATTTATGGAAAAGGGGCCACTACTACTTCACGTATTGTCCTTTCGCAACTCACGAGAATAGGAATAGGTTGACAGTGAATTCCGAGATTTGATGGGCGTGAAGGGAAACCGAGGTGATGAAGCACACAGGCACGTCAGTGACGGCAGTCAGACAAGGGCAGTCGGCGACTACAAGAGAGATGTCGGAACGGACAGAGGACGCGACGGAATCTGCGAATGGCGTGGACTGCGACTGGGTGGAGGGGATTAAAGGGCTAGCAAGGCCATTGGGCGCTGTAGTGTGTAGACGACAGAATTAGAAATGTCCGTGATGGCAGTGGTGCCACGTGCAGGCTTGCTCAGAGCGATTTGACGCGGTAGTGAATGACGGCCAAATGAGATGGTGGAGGGGATGACTGCCGTGAATATGAAAGAATCCCCACTGCTGCAAAATCACTTTTTGATATTGGAGAAAAATCTGGTAGGTGGCTTGGAGAAGCTGAAAAAAATTGATATCCTGGAGGTAAACGGTACTGACAGTTTTTGCTGATATCGGAAGCTTTAACATACTTCTGCCAATGTCATACCACTTTCAGAAGATACTGAGAACTATACCTAAACTTCACTAATAAGGAAGTTAGAAACTGTGAAACATTGCGACAACTTTCATTCAGAGGACAAAAACATATTTAAACAACTGCTGTAAATTTAGGTTAGAGAGACATGATGTTCTTTTCGTTTTAATTACAGATACACTGTAAATATTGATTCATTGAATGACCAAGCACAACACATAGAAAATCCTCACTGTGCCAAAAAGGAGGAATAACAGGAAGAAAACGCCGCAGCCCGTAAGAAAAATTAGGACAAAGAGCGAGAATGCGGATGGTAAGGAGAGACGCGATGTACAGGTCATGGCGCTAAATATGAAAATAGCGTAACGTATTACAGAGAAGACCACGGCAGGTTGTAGTGAGGAAGGCAGCAACACGGCCGGAAACCGTGTAGGGAAAGATGAAGATCCTCTAGAGGAGGAGGCGACAACGCTCACCGTCGAGAATGCACGGGCCGGCATGAGCTGCAAGGGGGCGTGGCAGATTCACCGCCCCCGCCCCCGCAAACGTATTTCAGTATGTTGTAGAATTGTATGGCGGCGGCGGGGGCGGTCCTCGGGAGGGCGGGGAGGAGGGGGGGACGTCGAGTGCAACGCTGACGTGGCAGGGGAGCGGGGGTGGTCTGCACGAGTCTCGATCAACATGCCCGATCGAATTCCGATGGCGACCTGTACGCGCGCGAGGCCACGCTGGCCAAGTTTATAAAGCGTTTTCCCTTAAACGCGCGGGCGGGTCGAGAGGCAGGCGGATGGCGGGTTGGAGTGGGCGGGGCGGCCACCCCTAAAAAAATATTTTTTTGTCCCACTGCATTGTCCGCGCAAGGGTCAATTTTCGCGCCATTGAGCGCGGTGCCGAGCGTGTGTGCCGTGGCGCCGTCGCGAGACCTGCGCGGGGTTCGGCTACGCAATCGCGAGGGCAGCTCGCCTCGGAGCGACTACGCGCGCCGGCGGGCGGCGGCATCGGCGGCGTCGCCCGTGCTCATGGCCCGCTCACGCTTCGCAGCCACGGCCACCGTCGCGCCTGCTCGCCAGCTCGCCTCTGCAACGCGTGCCTGCTTGCGTTCGTGTTGGCGGTCCGGGTCGCTCGTCGCGCGCGTGAGCCCATGGCGCCGGCTGGGCGAGGCGCCGCCAAGCCTGCACGGAGCGCTGCGTCGTCGGGATTTCCTTCGCCGCGCGGGCTCGGCGTCGACGTTCCGGACTGAGGGGATAACCGTATCTGCGGGGTTTGCGTGCGAGCCTTTCAGTTGTGGGTTTATCGTTCTAGATTTAATGCATTTGAAGTCATAAATTTCCAATAGTAAGATAGATGATAATGATGATAATAGATGATAATGATGATAATGACGATGATAATAATAATAATAATAGGACAGCAATAGGTTATTAGGACTACAACTAAGAAATTATTAGGTCCAGCCAGAGGTTTTAAAATGACATTATGAAATTTGTAGGTTACGGGTAACGTCAGAAATATGCCAAATTTGCGAATTAGCCGATTAACAGATTGTAGCCAAACGGTTTGGAAAAAAGTCGTATGGACGACATTCAACGGATCATTTCGATCATAATCAGAACAACGTCGGTATCAACCACAGAGCGCTGGTTAACTACAGAGAACTAGGGCGATTGTCGCAATCTAAGGTGTCTTGTGAGTTCGCGAAATGTGTGTTGGCATAAAATGCGTTGGAGATTAGGCGTCGCTCTTACTAAAACTTTTCTGGAAATCCCGTAGGTCTAAGCCATGAGCCTCGTAGACTCAAGTCCAAAAATACTTAACAATGCATCAATTGAGGTATACAACGGCTTTAGATTTCTAGGTGGTATCGTGTGGATAGAACTTTACGACTGACACAGGGGAACTCAGAATTACACACCTCTCTGTAACTTAAGACACTCCCACTTGCAGTCTTATCTCTTCGTATCACATAATATCTGTAATCCCTTGTTACAATAACATACTTCACTTACCCTTGCGAGCTCGGTGTTGCCTAATGAGCTCTTAAAGTGGGTGAAATCCCAAGTTTGCTTTGATGCTGTTCTTTCTTCGGGCATTCTCCATCCATGTTGGATAATGTGAATACAAATAAACTTATATTTGCGAATTAGCCTCATTCGGATGTTAGCCGTAACATACGCCTAAATTGAACTATACTCCAAAAATTACAAACACTAACTCCTTTGAGTACATACGGTGTAACGGCTGACTAAAAGCCTTCATCACACGAGCGCGTATTGGAAGTACAGGCAGAAAATGATGACAGAAACTTAATGCCGAGGAATACGCCATATGGGGATAGTGATTGCTGCGTCTTAATGGTGGAAGAGGGAATATTTCCGACATCTTCCTGGAGATGAGAGGAGGAGGCCACGCAAATGACATATTGATAAATTCTACCAGTGGAATTCTCAGCGTGACACTTGCACCGGACGACTCCGCTGCTCAGCTGATATTGAAAATCCAAAACCAATGAAACTCAAAACTAGAGTCTACCTGAAATCTAAGCATCAATTCGGCACTGGTGACTACATATGCTAAAGACCACGGTTTGTTCACATACACAAAAAAATTGTAATGCCTATTGCCTTATAGTGCTGGCTTCCTTATGGAGGATGTCTCTCAAATAACCATTACTCTTAGTTTCCATTCAGTGAATTTAATTTAGAAATATTAGAAATGTGGGTGTCTACAATTTCATCTCTAGTTAAGTACACGATAAATGTTTTCTTTCGTTTGGGACAGCCTTTAGGCACATGTGTTGCTAATTGCTTACCTCTCTAGCCTTGGTTTCATCAGTTAATTTGGAGTTTGAAAAACTGTTGATTAATAACTGCAATTCGATCCATTGTCAATCTCTTGAAGATTATATATATTTTGGGCTGCCTAATATTCGGGAGCTGTTTTTTTGTTGCTCTAAAATTCTTTTTTCCATCTTCTCGTATTGGCCTCAACGTATACTGTTCCCCAAATAGAAATTCAGAGTGACAAGTGAGTATTAAATGAAAATGATCAGTGTATCCTTCAGTTTTCTCATTATTTTTCTAAAGTTGTTCTAGACTTCATGTGTTGGGTTATGTGAATTTTTCGACACGTTGCTCTTCTTGTCTAAGATTTTATCTAAGATTCTTAACCGTTCGGTTCCATATTGGGATAATTATGAAAGATCAAAAGAGGCATGATCTTTAGTGTTACTTCCAGTGCACGGTTTGATAGAACTCGCGCAATTTCTAAGTTGCATTTCATTTAAAAAATGTATCTTGGAATAACATTCGTCTGAACATTTTAATTTAGTTATAATATTTTTAAATTTTTAATTTATTAATAATATGGTTAGGCAGAAGAGCAGGTCTGATGGACCGAGTCTCATCCCATAAATAGTTTTTATTATTATTATTATTATTATTATTATATCGTACGGTTTATAGAATATCTCATTTATCATCGGACATTCATGTCCGATTTGTTCATAGAATTCTCACAAAAACAATCAAATCTTGTGTTACATACTTTTTCATGAAAGATTGTGAACTGTATTTTGCATTGACGGTAAGTATATTAATGTCTCTCTCGAAGAAATTGGGTTTCGATTTAATCGAAATCACGTCTCTGTAATACATATTTAGTTAGAGTTTCTTATCGTTTTATGAACAATTATATGGATATTATTGTGAACAAAGCTTAATCGATAGCATTGAGATAGAGATAAAATACATGCATAGCCATTTCGAAATTTTGGGGATTTAAGAAACGTAGATTTTTAATTAAGGTTCCTATCAAATAGCCTCTATGGTTACACAAGAGGTGTTATTCAATAGTGTTCGAGTGGGACAATTGTAAAAACGATGTCTAACCACCACCACCTCACCATTTCACACCACGACAGGGCACTGACCAACCTCACCACCACCACACATACCACGTACAATAATTATCGAACTACCAGTGAATGACACTGAACGCCCCCACCATCTCCCCAGGAACAAAATTCGGAACGTAGAATCCGGAACGCTTGAGAAACAATGAGTTTTAAGAGCGATGATAGATCATCTCTTTCTCGCCCCGCCAGACGTCTCTCTTCCCTGCCCCGCCACCGCTTGTGCGCCCGGCTCGCCGGGGGGATCACGGGCACCGTAACACGGGTCGCGGTCGAGGGGAGTTCAGAGGCGCGACCGGGTTATTCACTAGTGCCTCGAGCAGCAACTAGTATAACCACTGAAGCCATACGTCCTCCTGCCCGTGCGGTAGTCAATCATGCTCGACCTGGCTGCATGTTATTATCGTCTTTCACTCATTAACGAGGTAGTCTCACACATGCATGTGCATTTTTCCATTCTATGGGCGCGGAATATCGTTCTAGTCAATACCCTGTTATAAAAGTCGAAGGGTGGATGGCGGGGGGGGGGTAGGGGACGACGCGAGGGATTCATTCTCCGAGGATGGGCCCAAGATCTATCAGCTATCGTGAATAGAAACGATGTTTGGGGGTTGTCATATAGGAGGGAAAGTTGCGCAGTTATTCGTAGAACATCGTATCATTGTATAGGAGTACGCAAACCTAACGACTACAGTAGTTATTTTCACTTCTGGCGTGCAGTTATACAAGAAGAACAGCATATTACACTTAGTTTCTCAAATCATGAAATTTCACAGATGAATTTAAACAATACAACTACATACAATCACAACATTGGTTATAATAATAATAATAATAATAATAATAATAATAATAATAGTAGTAGTAAAAATAATAATAATAATAATAATAATAATAAAAAGAAGAAGAAGACGAAAAAAATCAGACAATATAGGGATATTCAGAGGGATATCAGAAAACGACTACATTTTAATGGACTCATCAAAAGAATTAATCGAAATAGTCTTGCCAAACAAATAGTTGAATTTTATGAGGATAGAAGTAAAGCAGCAACTAACACTATAAAATGGATCAACGAAACAAAAAAGGTCATTGAATTATCAGGGATCACAGAAGAAGACATTCAGAATAGGAACACATTAGGATCTAAAGTGCAGTCATGACGAATTTATTTGGAAGGAGTACCAAAGTGTAGAACTGGAAAAGATTAGACCGAGGAGAGAAAAAAGACGTACAGCCGAAGACCTTAGACACACAGTCAAGTATAAATTAGTTGTAGAACGAAGTTTTTCCTGTTTGAAAAACATATATTATGTGATAGAAAATATAATAATTTCTCAGAAAATTATTTGGATATGCATGTAATAGCAAATTATAATGAAAGCAATTAAGATCATTTCTTCTCGAACCTAATTATGTTTTACTTCTGAACGTATATTGGTATTTATAAATTTTTGTATGTATTTTTGTATTTTAATTTTAATTTAATGTTGGGCAAATATTTAAAATGTCAAATATGGTTTGTTTCACCTACATGTACAAAATTAATTATAATAAAAATACTAAAATCATATTTCATTGTCCTTAAATATCACATTCAAAATATAAAATAAATTGTTTTGTATATTCACTGAAATTTTTAGGCTACATGAAAATGTTTGCAAAGTTTTTATATTGTCATTGCATGTTTTTGCAGGTTTTGGTGTTTTACTGTACGAAAATCTGGTGTTTAATAATAATAATAATAATAATAATAATAATAATAATATTGACTGAATTCAACTCAATTACCGTATAAACAATCGTGCGGGGCCAATGAGTGTTGTGTGTAAGTGTATCAGGGAATGGTGATAGTGGCACGATAGTGGATGGTTTATATAAATGTGGTATGTTGTACGTGTATAAATGTAAATTTGATTTCATTTGTGTTCTGTTGAAGCAAAACAATGTGTCACCTTAATACCATTTTAATCTAAATCCCGATGTATTATGTAATATCCAACATTGTTGATAATGTTAATAAATAGTAATAATAAATAATTTGATTTAATTTACACGTACGAAACTTTGGAAAGTCGGCAACAGAAGAGGTATAGATTTTAATAACATTAGGCCGAAAAGTAGCAAATAACAGACGTCGAAGTTTGCAAACTTCGTTTTGATGGGATAGACAAGTGTTATTACGCCGATCCGGTGGCCGAGATCCCTAAGGCAGTAGTGCCGTAGCGAACTCGGACCGAATGATCGCGGGTTCGAGTCCCGCCTCGGGTATGGTTGTATTGTGTTTCGTCCTTTCACCCCCTATCATCATCATTATCGTGTCAACCCACAGTTACCATACCGTTACAAGCAATAGTGGTCGCTAATGACCTAGTAGTTGATGCGACCTTAAATAACAAAAAAAAAAGTTTTATTACCTATCGAGTCGTACATGTTACGACCATGTCGTCCAGTACTTTTTAATGCCATATTTGTACTTTCTCGCTACGGAGTACACAGAAATGTATGTAATACTGCGCGAGAAAAGGGCAAAAGTGGCAGAAAAACCCACAATACTGGGTCCGGATAAAGAAAAATTGCATAAATCCAGTTGCGAATTTTAAAAGGAATAAATCTTCCAACACATGGTTTAGACAGAATCTAAAAAAAGGAAAAAAAAGGCTTCATCGTTTTTTATTAATTTGTTATTGGTAGTGTGAAGGACATTTACGAGAATGGTGTAGGTCTCATTATTGTTTTGACTCAGATTTTGCGTAACTCTAATTTTTTTGAAAATTGCTTCAATTCAATTTTTTTAGTCTTCCCAGAACTTAAATAATAAAGATAGAGATTTGCCTCTTAATTATATCTGTTCCTTATAAATATATTTTGAAGTAAGATCCTATACAATTTTTCGAAAATTTTTCTTTTCCCGTAATTTTGCTTGAAAATACGGGTGAGTAAGTACGTGCTGTTTAAGCACCACTCCTTTAAAAAACTAAAAACAAGCAATATCATTTCTTGGATTTCTTAGCCTTTAAGAGTACATTATCGTTCCTTATTTTATTGCGATGAGTCTACAAGCCAGTGCAGTATCACCATAAAAATATATGTATCTTCACTCTCAGTAGTTACGTATTTATCATTTCTTTAATTTTTTACTTATTGAGGAATATTCAAAAAATGAGATAATAATGCAGTAGTACGTAACTAATTGACATATACGTAAACGCGAAAGATATGTTAAGAAAATTCCGTCTCTCAGCCCGATAGTCACTGACATTTATGGACAGATCGGAATTAGTGATGAGACATGGATGTCGATGTCTTCAAACATCCAGGTTCGTATAAAACCATCGACGTATTTAACATTTTTAGATCGATGTTTTTTATCATTGATTATTTATTGGCGATGTCTCGTTCCTAATCGGAATCAGAGCTGAAAAAGAAAATGCGCGGTACGAAGCAAAAGTAACGAAGAAGGAAAGTGATATAGTGAAAAATTGGAGCGGAGAATATGTACATTTATTGCGATACTAATTCTTGAGTGGTGCTACCACAATAGTATCTGGAAAGGAACTACCGCCATCAAAATCAGTCCAGTACCCGCCACAACGCTCGAAAAATAATACACAAGTTTTGAGAGGCTTACTTTCAGTCAATTTCGTCAACAGACCAAGCGTTAGTACGTATTTTGTGGACACATTTGCCACGCCACTTTTTTAGTTGATGAAATCTGCATGTGCAGGGTACCTTTAATAAACGTATAACAAAATTTTTAGAGGTTAGTGGAGCTCTTTTGTTATAGACGAAGATGGTGCACCGATTATTACATGTCATTTTCAATAGCTAATTTATGCTGAGATGCTATTTGGCTGTAAAGATCAACAAATGTGTTACAAATGGCGCTGGGCGTGCAATTGATACAAACTCTTCTGACTTTGTCTTGGCAGTACAGTTCTTTTTCAGACATTTCACTTGTTATACTCGTATGATTCTATCTGCTTTTCGCTTTTTACCGTGTGTTGCGAGACACTGGAAAATACTTGAAAGTGAGTTTTTGTTATGACGTGTTTCTTGATTCTGGCAGTACTTTGGGATTACAATACTTTATTTAATGCAATTTAATTTCGCTATTGTGTATGAAGCTCTTAACGTGGTAAGTGGTTATGAATCAAGTAGACAGATATCCGTCAATATGACAGAATGAACAGCTTCAATCTTGCTGGCAATGCTATGTCAGTTGGGTTAATCCTAGCGTGGTGACGTCTATTCCATTCATATTACCTCGCAGGGTGAATTCCCTTCACAACTCTCTAATCTTAAATTTTATTTTAAGATAAAAACAATTTATATTAAAATAGCTTCCGGCTGATTCTATGGTAATCGGTATTGTTGTCATTGTCATATCTATTGGCAACAATAAGAAATCATTACTTGTGAATAATTTACAAAAAGCAGTTTAGCGATAATATTAAATGGAAAAAAAATAATTATAACGCGAGGCCACACGTAAAATAACTCTGAGAGATAACTAACATTGATCTTTTCAATTTATCACAACGTCATTTTCATATATTATACTTACAATTACATTATGTGAATGTCGTTTCCGTGTAAAGTTATAAGCTTTTGCACTCCATCGTCATCACATGGCTATCCTTTCGTCCACAATGTATGCAAGTTATTCATTTTGCAGCCCGTTTTCTCCCCTCTGCGTCTTTACACGATCGAAATACGAAGATATTTAAAAATAGATTAAATGCACTCACAGTGATAATATACAATAAAAAATGTAGTTGTCCCTAAACATTTTACTTCGTTAGTGGCCAAGCCCATTGTGAATTCTATTCCCAATGCTGTCGAAGTCACAGGAGTGGAGATGTTTTAGGTAAATAAAAAAATCCTTAGCCCCAGCAACTTCGAACGTCATCAAAACAACACTGCGAACTCGAGCAAATGTAAAAAAGTGTGGCGCGGTATATTGTTAAATTTTCCAGGAAAGGCGGAGCAAATGGTCGGCCAGGTTTACGGAATTCACCTACGCCCGCTTTCAGGTTAAACTCAATACAGTTGCACGTGATATTATCTATCGTTCATTAAGAGAAGTTTGGGAACGCACATGTTGGGTCAGAATTTTTTTTTAATGCTCACACTTTCCTAGCATCTCAAACTATATTACTTTACCTTATCCTTTTGCAATCACATGCTTTGAGCTGGTATTAGTGTATAAAGAAAGCAATAAAATGGTAACGGCAATTTGACCGAGGTGGAATGCCGAACTTCGCAGTTGGAGCAGTGAAAAAAGTGTAATATGCCAACAATTCTTCAATATCGCAAACGTTGAGATATTCCCCGAATGCACTCGAATCCAAAATTTTCCGCCTTAACTTCGGCCGATTAACATTGTTATTCCTGTCATAATTGTATTGACGAGTTTCAAAACTAAGGAATGCTATTACGTTAACCCCGAGTACACAGCGCTTTATCCACTATCAAAATAAACTTTTACCCCGAATACAATGTTCGGGAAAATATTTCTCTCCTGTATCTTTCCGGATGTCAACGGTGCCTAAAGCAAAAAAAAAAAAAAGCTTAGTTTTTCCTGTGTCCGATTCTTCCCAGAATTATTCTCCACTCCGCGCGTCCTGAGTGGGCTGGGGCAGGGGCGGCGCGTGGGCGGGCGTGGCGGGGCGGCGACGGGCGCTGCGGGTGTCGGGCGCGGCAGCGGGCGCGAGAAGAGCCCTCGACCCGCGGCCCTTCACGTCCCCGCACGCGCCGCCCGCGCCGGGCGCAGGCCTTCTCTCGGGCCGGAGATGCACGGCCCGCGCTGCCCGCCACGCCCCACATGTCCCGGCGCGCCTCGCCCGTCCCCGCACGCCCTGCTCCGCTGCCCGCCCTGGTCGCGTCAGCCCCATCCGCCTCCTTGCTCGCACTCACATCGAAACGACCCGCCCCGCTCGCCCACACCCTATCGCTCCAAACATGCTCGAAATATCCCGCGCTTACTCACCGCTCGACCCACACCGCCCTTCATACCACCCTGCTTTGCTCACCCGCTCCGTTCGCGATCCCCCAACCCGGCTCGCCGCCCGCCCCGGCCCCGGCCTCGCTCCGGCCCTCGCTCCCCCCTACTAGCACTGTTCCACTCCGGCCAGCAACACCCAACTCACTCACTCCGCTCGTTGTACCCCGTTCGCACCTGCGCTCACCCCGCCCCATTCACCCTCCTCCGCTTGCCCCTTCCGTTCGCCGTGATCCCCCGTTCCGCTCCCTTCCTCCAATCACATCGTACCGATCCGTCCCACTCGCCACGCTCTACTCGCTCAATACGCTTGAAATATCCGGTCGTCTCACCGCACGACTCACCCGCCCGCCGCCACTCATCGCCTCAGCCTCGCTTCGCTCTCCCTAGTACTGTCCAGCCCGACTGCAACCACCAACTCGCTCCACTCCGCTCTGCCCTTCTCGTACGTGCGACTTCCTCTCAAAATATCCAGTTCCCCTCCTCAGCTCTTCCTGCCCCGCTTGCCTTTCCCATTTGCCACGCTCCTCTCGCTCTGCCCCGCTGCCCCCGCACTCCACTCCCCAGTCCCCTCCCCACACCCGCTTTGTGCGTCCCCGCTCCGCGAACCAGTCGCTGGACTCCACTCCTCTTGGGCTTGTTAGGGACCGGCTCTCTCCACCTAACCCTTTCTCTTCCTACTCGCCTCTTCTCACTATTCTATCAAGTCCACGTCTGATCGTCTCAGATCGTTAGGTTACTCTTTTTCCCACCCACCCCTCACGGCCTCGCATTTCGCTCCCTCTTCCCTCTTTCCTATTCCCCTCCTCCCTGCTCTTGGTTTCCTACATTTCTTTCCATTCTGCCTCTTCTTCTCGACCCCTATCCCTCCCGCAGCTCACGGCCTCTATGCCTCTTCGATCTGTCTTGTTCCTCGCTGTCTTCGTTCTCTCCATCTTGCCCCCCTCCACCGCACGTGGTTGCACTGCTCTACTGCATCCTATCCAATAATGTTCGTTTCTCCTCCAACCCATCTCACTTCGTCGACCCCTTTCTTCGGGCTCTAATATCTTCCTCTGTACTCTACGTCGTCTTTGGATTCGCGCTTCTCGAACCAATCTATATTCGCATTATTTTTCTTGACCTCTACTTAGTGCTGCACTTTTTACACCAGGTTATCTCCTTACAGACTATTGTCACGCACAACTCTACCATCCCTCTTTTTCCACCTTTCCTCTCATCGCTTGCTTCTTTCCGCGCCGTCCCTGGGCGCTTTCCTCTTTCCAACTCAACCCTCCGCTATTCTCCACTTTCACCTGTCGCTACCACATTCCCTTATCCCTGTATTATTTCTTCTGCACCCGGCTCGCTCCGACCACACACACACACACACACACACATACACACACACATCGCCGCCATCTGCTCTGCATTTCGGGAGTCACAACTCGCCCTCATCTTGCCCTGAGGGAGGGGAGGGTACGTGGCGTAACTGCCAGCGCATTCTCCTTCAACCGCTGTGGCCAGTTTAATCCCCCGCTAATGCATCTCGAACGTCTGTAAAAAACTAGCTCTCGTCCTGCTTTCGCCGGATTCTCCCGTGTCCCCTGCCGCTTGCCAACATTTTTCCATTGTCCTTATCGGCTGGGTTTAGCTCAGCGCCGCCCCTGTCGCTCGCAGCGACTATGACCGGGAGGTTCAGGGGTTCGAGTTCCGGCGTAGGCGGAGTTTTGACCCTATCTAGATAGATAGGTCGCATTCAGACGCTGTCCGGGGGGGGGGATTCTAGCCGTCGTCTGCTCCAATCGGTAGTTTTCCATGGTTTCTTAGATCAATACCAGGTGAATACCGGAGCAATACCCTAACAAACGGGACCTCGCGTGTATATCCTTCCTCATTCTCGACCCTTGCTCTCTCCTCACACACACTTACACTTACTTTCACTACACTATCCCACCTGCTGGGAGAACAGTCTGAAGTTTAGAGCCTGCCGTGGTTGGAGCGGTGCCCCGATAGAGGAGAGACACCTGGAGGGGAAAATCCCCCGCAAGCCGACGTGTAGGGCCGCGACTGGATCTCACCATCCTGCGGGGAGGAACACCCCCACCCCGCGATAAAACATTCACTACGTAAACGGGACTAGCGACCTTAGCAGTTGATATCCCCCAGAAATATCAATCAATCCATCATCATTCATCTTATCATCGCTATCATTGACTTCGATCATCACTTGTGCGCCTCGATTACCTTTACAGGTTAAGGGCCCCTATTCATGAATAAATAAATAAATGAATGAATAAATAAATAAATAAATAAATAAATAAATATAAATGTGAATGTATTTGACATTTCTGGGTCGGATTAATCCGACTTTTATCAGATGGTGGTGTTCCCAGAACAGAAACCTGTTTTTGATGAGCTTTTTCTTTCGTTCCTCAGCCAGAGAAGCTGAAATGATTTGTATTAGAAAGTTATATCTTCATTTTACCACGGCCCGGAATCGAATCCGGGGCCATCTCAAAGAAATATGGCACGGTGTCCCTTAGCCATCCGAGGGACTTAAATAAATATAAATAAATGTAAATAAATATAAATGAATAAACAAAAATAAATAAATATTCATTCGCGTACCGGGTAGCCACGCGCAACCTGCGAAAAGTCCGCTTTCCTGCGCCCACACACACGTCATTTCTTTACCACGAGCGGAAGCTCCATGTGAGTTGGCACAACGGGGAGAGAAAATCGTTTTCAGCTAGCAGATATTTCAAAAGCAAAAGCGCGAATTATGTTTTCATTTTCATTTCAAATATTGACACTGCAAACACATTTCGCGCGAGTGAAGTTCAAGAGAAAGCTCTTGGTGATTCACCTGCCGGTTGCCTGATGTATCTAACAATTCTCTGAGAGATATGCTTACCTGGATACTGAGAGGTAGGAATGGCGTTGACGACAAAATAACAGGCTTTATGGTATTGCGGTCCTTTTCTTTCGGTTTTTTCTTGGCAATTATAACTACCCAAAATCATCGGTTATTGAAATAACTATTTTTTGTAAAAAAGTGTTTCAATAATTACATATTTATTTGCATTGTTACATGAATTATGCAATTTATTTGTAGATACTAGTAGGATGCAAGAAAAATCAAAACAAAATAAAATACTAAAAGGTCCAATCGCACGACCTTAGTTATCTAATACGTTACGAATTTCACATTTTCAATAAATCTCTCGATGAATTCTAGTTTCTTAAATATATCTCGTTTCTCTGGTTAATTATTGGATTTTGAAAATGAATATAACCGAGCCCAAAAAATAGCGAAGGGCGGACCAAAACAAAAAAACTCTTTGGGTAAAAAACAGATTATTTTCGTTTCAACAGGAAATGTCTTTTCGAGGAAATTAGGTAGCACTGAGATGAAAAATTATTTGCGACTCATACCGCAATGGAAACGCGTTCTAGCAATCGGAAACTGATTGTACGGAGCTCCATTAATAGACTGGCTGCGATGGCTCAGCGGCAACACTGCCACCATCGTGTTTCGATTCATAGTTCAGTGACACTGCAAGGGCAACGGCAGTGCTGTTTCTCAGCCATTGCAGTATGTCCTGATCATTTGATGCAGGCGGCATTGTGTTCCAATGGAAGCAGGATATCGCTATTTGCACACTAATTCCATCAATTTACAAATTTTTGATATCCTTTGAAAAAGAAGTACTTCGGTGATAGTAATGTTCCGTGCTTAATTTTATTATTTAACTAATGAAGTTATTGACAGCTGAGCAACAAAAAATTCCTGTGAGACTACGTATGTAGATGTTATGTCAAACTAGTAAATTAAAACAGAAATATTTAATAGATAGGGAAAGTTTTCGTGACTGTATTGATTAAGTCGAGACGGGAGAGTCTAATAATTCAAAATCAGGTATCTAATATTGTTGACATCATCAGTTGGTATGTATGTATATTTAAGAAGCGTATAAAACAGAATAAGCAATATCTACATAGCAGGATGACCGAACGGCTTCTCAGTTCATAATTGTGTGGTGTCATGCAGAGTGCAATAATACACAGACGAGAGTGGATTTAACTTATTGCTAGTTTATTAATGAATGAATCCATCACTGAAATAAACCTTATCTACAATAGTTACATAAATGAAATAAATCGACCCCACTACTAGAAGTAGTTTTGATTCTACGGCTACCACACCCTCTACTTAATTATCGAATAGATCCGATCGTGTGAAACCGAATTCCTTCACGACTCGTCGCTTGAGTCTAACTATGACAAAGTACACAAAGTACAAACTACATTCACGACAAAGTACATTGCCTACCCTAGCCTACGCGCACGCGGTCCGCACCCCACCCGGTGCGCTACCTCCGATCCGCATATCTCGACTCCTCGAAGAGAAAAGGGACCGGTGGAGCGTCGCAACCGTCTAGCTTGGCTGGCAGCGTCTTCCACCCCTTTCACTGAGTTTTTACGCTACGTCACATCCTGACGCCCTACCCTTAACCCAAGTGGTCTGCCATACGGCGAGCACATGGTCACCTGCATCTATGTTAATGCACGACGCTACAGTAGATTGTTGCAACCAGTTCTGTTATCTGGCATAACAATGTGTGAAGTATGTAACTGGAGGGAATGTAAACAATACAATTTACTCGTATTAGAATTTGCATTTCGACTTACGAGGGACACTTCGTAACATCGTCGAGTATAACGAGGCATTTTTCATGTGCAGTAGGAGACAATTCATAGCTCCGTTGTTTGTTTGCTTTTTTCAACAAAAATCATATAAATCATTCTCGAAATTCTTGTACAATCTCATAATACACCTACCTCTCTCGAAAATATTTCTGGAATTGCTTTCACGCTTTTAAACAATAATCCAGCCAATTTGCTTTACAAAGACGTGAAAATACGTGTTTTAAAGTCTTTTATATATTTGGTTTGAATGATATCGTCAAAATGGAACTCTTCAGAATGACATCTATGTTGCAGAGTTGTATATATTATTTATCCTTAATTGAAAAATACATAGCTACAGATTTAGGTGTTTTAATCATGATCAAAGAAACTTATACAAAGTTTGTGAGTGATTACAGAAGTTACGTGAAGTTTTAAACATGAAGTACTCATAGAGTGAATGTGATATTGAAGGATGCTCCTTAAGTTTAAATATCTGTAATTCTTGAGATGTGATCTAATCATATAATCCCTAAATCAGTAAATACCTTCATGAATAATAGCTTTCTTCATTACATTTTTTTAAATTTAGAGAACATGGATAAAAGATATTTTTTAACACACGAATGTCTGCCTTACCTATGAATTGCTTCAAGACTACATAATGGTGACCTGAAAAGTCTGAAGCGCTGGAATTGATTGTGTGCATTTTCTGTTACCAAACAAACGATGAAAACAATGGAATATGTTCCATATCATGGTCAATCCTACTTAAATTGAGTTTGAACTCTGATAATAATATTTCACTCCAATAATAAATCTTGTTCCCTTTGTGAGAGTATTTTACACAACTAATGCTGAGGCATAAAGTATTAAACGATAAAAATGTTGGCGATAAATGCGATAATTATTGATTACATAGACACGTTCTTCGTTGTTTCCACAAAATCCATCACGCTGTACAAAGGCTGTTGTGTGTGCATTAGTGTTAACGCAGTTAATGTTCTTAAAAATTTTAATAATAAACGTGTGATCGCACAACAGAATTTTATAGAAGGGAGAACAAGGGAATAAATAAACTGAAAGTCTGAACGCGCAATGGATGATGCAAACTTAATCATTCATATAATAATGATTACATAAACTCCAGCGGCGGTATTGTACGAGATCCTGCTCTTGTCAATCTCGGCGATACAGTCGCATCTGAATCATACTTTCACTGATTAGCTAAATGCGTGTCATGATAGCCATATTGTCCAGGGTGTCTCAAAAGCAACGTAACTTTTATGCAATACAGGATTGCATTCAAAAGTGTATTTTGAAGAATTTGCTTTGTAATAATATATATATATATATAATATATATATATAGTATTATATATATATATATATATATATATATATATATAATTTTCTGTAAAGTATTTTTAAATTCATTTATTTACGTCAAAAACAGGTTAATAAACTGGTGTGACTTGCTATGGAGAAAGAGTTGAATTTCAGTTACATTTTAGTGTCCAGAAGCAAAACAAGGGCCATCTCCAGCATTTGCTCGAGGATCAGCGAAAACTGGACGAAACGCATGATCGAGATGGGGTCCACTACCCAGAGCTGAGTACAATACTTGTTACAGGTTCTTTACAATTATACAATCTAAATGATATATAATACATTAAATGTCATTGTCGAAATTAATATCTTTCTTTTTGGATGCTCGGTATTGTCTCTAATTGTATAGAAACAGTTTTGCAGCAGAAAATATTTTACTTGGGACTTAAACTTTTGTATCGAATTTAATCGTTAAATGTCATCTGGCAAAGTGTTGTAAAATAATGTACATTACATGTGAATTTTTTGTAGTTAGCTGTTGATACTGTTACCTGATGAATATGATTACTACGTCGAGTGTTGTAGTTATAGACAACGGCGTTTGCTGAAAATATATTCCCGCCCTTAATAAGTCATTTTTGACAAAAACCACTGATTCATTTATTAAGAGACAAGGTAATGGTAAAATGCTAATAATACATTATACACCAAGTATATAATATGACAGTAATTTTGAACTTCTAAAATTAAAAAGTGCGTAATAATGAATTTGTAAATAGTATTTAATATAATTAATTACGATGTGTTCTGAAATCATGTGTTATACATACTTAGAACTTTAGGTCGTTACAGAAAAATAGTTTTCCTTGAGTAAGTGACAAAGTTAGCTAAATTTTGCTGCAGTTACTTTTCAATTGGAACGTCAATATCGAATGTAATCTGTAGGATATATTAAAAATTGGATAAATTGGATGTTTCACTGTGCATCGTATAGAAAACATAAAAATTCTCTATTTTCATTGTTCTTTAGCTGGTAGTTTCATTAGAGACATCTTTCGCAGACGAATATCATATATCACTGGATTCTAATTCGTAATATATCGAAGCAGGACACGTTTTGAATGGTAATTCAGACACATATTGTCAGTGGTTTGTTTTGGAATTTGTATTGGTACGATTTTATAATTTCAGTGTATATGTTCGTATTCTGTATTGCATAAATTAATCGATTAATCTTTTCCTACTTTCTTTGCCACGCCCCAAGGGTAAGAATTTTCTAAGTCATTAAACTTTAAACTGCTTTCTGATTGTTTTGCCGATATGAACTTCAAGAACGTTTGCTCATTTATAGTCTAAATTAAATTTAGGTGCTGATCACACAGTATACTTTCATCAGGATGTGTATATAGAAATTGGCTCAGTAGCATGCAAGGGACTTTCAAATACTACTATCAGATGGATTTAAAAAAATATTTTTATCATAATACATGTTCGATATTCTATGAACATACGTCTATCTAATATGAATATCAACAGCGTTACATGAAAACAGTGTGATATACCGTAAAGAATGTTGTGTGTTTTATTGAATGTAATATAAATAAAATAATGAAAAATAAATGGAATGATTGTAAATAAATTTAACTTCACTACCAGTCCCCATTTTCTAGAGTTCAGGGGAAAATATAGTTGTTCAAATTATCGTTCTCCGTGTTGACGTGGAAGGAAGTCACTTTTTTCACAAGCACGATGAGAGAGGGATGGATCAGCGTTTAGCCAATTTGCCCTTGCAAATATTTTTATTGCATCGGAGTGTATTTACTTACCAATTCTCGCCAAAAACGCTCATTGACTTCTGTATACAAAATTCAACTTGTATATGGCTTAGAGATCCCAGAATTAAGAAAACGTGCACACAATGTACACTCCTTCCCGTAGCATGCCACACACAGTTTTTAAGTGTTATAGACGTTACATAAATAAATGATTAATTGATATTAGGACATTGTAAAGCCTTTCCGATGTTACAATATTCAACAAATAGTATTTCTTTGTATGGATATTACGTTTCGGTGAAGTTACCTTCACGAATTAACTCTTCGGTCCCTTCTTCTTTTTTTTCTTCTGTTCGTCCACTGATGTGCCCGCCACCGACTCGATCCCCCTGACAAAAACCTGAGCGAATTTCGAAGTCGCGCAGTAATTGGCGACTGGCAGCGGCACGGTCCAGCGCGGAGTGCGTGTCACGGGAAACGTCGAAACGCGCTCGTGACGATGACGCTAACAAAAGCGGAACTTGCCTTGCATAGCGATTCCGCGACGGCGGCGGCGGCGGCGGCCCCCGATGCAGGAAACGTCTCCGCGTACGCCGCTCACGTAGTGGGTGAAGAGAACTTGGCACAGTGGGCGAGCGTTCGCGACAAACTCCAACAACCTGCGACGGACGCAACGTGCCCCCGGTCGGAATCGAACTGCACCTCGGTCAGCGGGTTGTGTTCAGTTGGCTCCGGCCATTCTTCGTCGCTTGTCGTCGGCTGTCACTGGCCAGTGCAGGAATTTTAAGCACGGGTGTTGTCAGACAATTTAACGGGTGTGGACAATTTTTGGAACTTAATGTACTACTTCAAAAATAACACAAAATAAATTACATTGTTTTATAAGAGTTTTTTGCACCAATAAAATAGATGTGAACCGAGTTAAGATGAATTACATATGCGGATTTTTATGATGGGGATGTAAAATTGGTCAAGAGATGTAATAATTGTCTATTTTGTTGTAATTGACTTAGTTGCAATATTGTACAGAGAATATCGTGCAATTTTCACCCAATAATGAAAGCATAAAAATTAAAATGAAACGTTGCGTCGTACTTCGAAGAATAGAATCTCTTCCTGGTTATGGTTTCAATTTTTATAATTCATATTATTATTATTATTATTATTATTATTNNTTATTATTACTATTATTATTATTATTACTATTATTATTATTATTACTATTATTATTATTATTACTATCATTATTATTATTAATATTACTATTGTCATCATCAGCAGAAGCATTATAAGATCCCTTTCTTCTGTAATTCCATTGTTTACATTCATATGGTAGATGATGGAGATGGAAAACCAGCTTTCCGGCCCTACTCTTTCTGCAACAAGACAAACAAGAATTTAGCACAACGTGCGACTAGCAATCGCATCGGAATCGTATATTTTTCACGTCGTCGAAACGGTTTAATGTTGCAGGTCGCCCCGCGCCGCGCGTCACGTGGTGGCAAGCGAACGCACTCCTGGACGACACCTACGAGTCGGCGGGCGAACGCCGCGTTCGCAACAACCTGTACATCGACGAGCTGGAGCGCAAGCAACTGCTCACGGTGCTCACCTGCCAAGCCATCAACAACAACCTCACCGTCCCGCTTTCAGCTGCCGTCACCATCGACTTGAATCGTAAGTACCTTCTGTGTGCTTTTGGTGAACCTCGGGTCGATCTTCAGTGTCAGTGTTCCAGGAAGAATAACAGCTTGTAGCTTTTTTCTGAAGAAACTAATGATGACTGCGGAAACGTTTAATACTTCTCTAGCTTTATTGTTGTTGTTGTTGTGAGTTGGGTATATTACTTATATGTCATAACTCTTGGAATACCTTTTATATAGTTATTTCCTATTTTTCAAACATGTTTGGGTGTGAGGACCGCGATAACACGTTACGAACTAGGGTTTTTAGTAATTTTGTTATTTCTTCTTTCTTTTAGCAGCCTTTGTCTAACATGTTGAGTTATCGATATTTTGGATTGAGTATTGCATTATCATTTACGTTTCTAAATTAGGATTCACAATACTTCGCGAGCATGCTGGAAAGGGATGAAAAAGACGTTAAGTTTGTAAAGCGAATATTTCAAAACCAGTACATTCTTAACTCTTATTTGGTGTACTTGTGAATGTGGAAAATAAAATAAATCATTTTTGACTATTTGACACCAAAGCCCAATAACATTAAAATTAATACACAGAAAAGTCGACTAATAAACCGTAGTTATATTCTGTGTTTTGCATTGATGTACTACCCGAGCTAATTACAAATCAATAAAATACACTACTACAATCTTCCCGTTATGAAATGAATAACACAAAAGCATGAAGTCAGAAAATACTATCGGGGAAAAGAGTATATTTAGTAAAGTAAAGTTACTTTCGTGAACAAAACTTTCTAGATGTAAGCAGTGTCTCGATACTGTATATCTTGATGCCAAACAGGATGAGAATCTGAAGTTCAAAGGTTCAAATAACTTGATTATCTACTAGTCAACGTTTCCACTGTATATTACGCCTTCATTAGGGCTACAAAACTCAATAAGAATACCTAGCAACAATTATATTACATGTGATTCTTCCTCTCGTTATTTCTTGTGATATTAATGTGATATTAATTGTGATATATGGTGTAACAAATTTTAAATGAAACGCAATAATTCATTGCTTTAGTCCTTGGCCAGCACGAATTGTCACATTCTTAGTCGTACTCAGAATGACATGGCAAAATTGTGCGATCTGCCACCCACTGATTTAGAATTAATTCAGTTCTTGCGTTTTCGCTGTTCCTTTCTGTCATATATTTTATTCCCTGATTTATTCGATTATCTTTATTTCCATCTTGTTTTACGATTTATATGTTTGAATTTTGATTTATTTTGGGTATGATTTGAAAGTTGGTGACAGTTAAGGGAGTAAGCAACTTTGTTTTCGCGTCTTACTAATTAATAGTATTATCATCAACTAATTATATTTACTAATGACGAGTATTGTTATTTGATTATTTCTCTTTCATATCATCTATTACACTTGCTAATACAGTGACAGCAAATTAATCGTGAATAGACATGCTATTAGCATACTTACAGTTGGTGGCACCTACAATCTTCCTCTTTTCGCTCCTTCACTGCAAGACTTACAGAAAAAATAATTGCACCTGTAGTAGTGAAGTATGTCATTTGTTTGCATCTAAAAGGGAGCCCGTTTTTTCGTTAAAGATATAATTTGTAACTAATGTTGATATCTATGTATCTATGATATAATTGTAGGGCGCATGTAATAAAATTATAATATATAATCATTCAATAGAATTCTCCTAATTTTATTGGACGTCACATCAAATTAGTCAAGCTGCAACAAAGTTCTCGGAGACTGTTTGAGGACGAGAGAGAATTCTTATTTATGCCATATCTCTGCTACCCAAAGGTCGTTTCTGATCACTCACCCCCCTGAAGCAATTTAACTTCCATCTATATGAAATGGATATTGTGATGCACTACGCTTCAACATGAGAGTAAATTGTGAATTAAATGATCAAACTCATCATAGATCTATACAATCGAAAGAGAAATATTCAGTGTCGTTTAACTATAAAATGACACAGATTAAAGAAATCTGAATGTGCTATTCGTAAACAATATTGCCATGCTTAAAATTGTAACTATAATGTACAGAAAATATAGATAATATTGTCGTGCATGTTAATCATAGTGTTTAAATAACTAAATCAGTACAAATAAATAGAGAACAAACTTATGTTGTTCTTTAGCTTTATTTCCATACGAATTAGGAAATAATAGTTTCCAATCATCGTAAAAACAAATCATAATAATGTGAATTATGTAGTTGAAAATGTTACAATCGTACATACACTACGTTTATTTTATCTATAAGTCCTCATCCTCAGAAACCTCATTCGGCCACTGAGCTTTCATTTTCCGTCAGCGCTCTTGCGGGGACATGGGCAATCTTCCGTCACAGGTGATGTAATCAAATGAAAGTGCAGATACACATGCTTCTTGATATGGATGCTTTCACCTTCAATACACATTCTGACACATCCACTGCATCGAATCAGGCGTGATCTTCGGTGTATTCCGATGTAAGAATCATCAATCGTGTTTAGTGGTCTCACGAATGCCCTGATAATACACACTGGTCTGTAAGTATGGGAGTGTTTGAGATTCTATGGCACCTGGCGATATATAAAATGATTCCCTGTACGTTCCTGTATGTCATACAGTACAGTCATATGTCTAAATGTAGCAAACGCTACGTTTTTCTGACATCCAAATAGATCAGTTTTTGCTTTTAGTTTCCTTGATGCGTTGTTTAAATTCTGAGATGATCCGGAACTTGTAATTCTATACGTCGCGACGTATGCAATTGCGTACGACGCGTAGCATGCAATTTGCATAATTTTAACACTCAGTAAAAACAAACATAATGCGTTACTTTGTATTGAACATTAAATTTCCGGTATTCACATAAAAAGGGTTTCATGATCATTAGCAATGAGAGTAAATCATTAAGAGGAACTATTATGTGCCACATGTGTGTTTTATTATTACATCTAAAAGTGTCTGTCTATTTAAGAATATTCAATGTCTGTTGAATGGTAAATTTTAAGAGCAACGTATGAATAAACTATAAAAAAGTGTTGTTTGGAAATGGTATACATATTTTAGACCTTATCTCGCGCAATTCGAAACTTGGACCGCTATGGAAAAATAACATTAAAAAACGGGAATACTTCCTGGAGTATATTGAAAGGCAAAATGTTGCCTTGAATAAATTGAACATTTCCTCCGAGTCCGTCTACCTAATACCAAGATGCGTCCATTACGTGAATTTCAACATTTTCAATCTACCGATAACCTTACGAACTCAAAAAGGCCGCAGTGCGCAAGCGATCAAGGAAGCAGCGACTTCCGCCGAGCAAATTACCGCCCCCCTCCCCCTCCCCCGACGCACACGCGAGAATTCGCCCGCCTTGCTCGTTCGTTCCGCATGCCAGGGGCGCGTCGAGGATTTCTGTGTAACACTGGCATCCTCATTATGCAGATCTCCCCCGGGACGGAGCTGTTGGGTTTCCGGTAACATTCCTCGCGGGAGCTCTGGGAATCGCGGCCTATTCCAACTGAGGTTCGGCCCCGGCTCGGGACGCGCGGACCTAAAGCAGATCGTTTCATTCCATTTTCTTGGGAATCGCGCCGCACTTCGGAAGTGCGTCGACGCGGCGCCAGGTTCTTGCCCCTGTCCGATTCGGGCCGGAAGGGGATTATAGCGGGGAAGCACCGCTGCGGCGGGGCGTGCTGGCGGCGGAAGGCATCGTGCGATGGAGGGTTGTGCCGGGGGGGGGGTGACCTGAGGAAGGCTGGGGGGGGGGTTATCCTTCGGCAGGCAGCGCTGACGCAGCGAGGGTTTACGAACTTCCAACGCGTCGACGTCGTCACCGCTTTGTTCCTGAATTTTGCTGCCGGCCCTTCGCAAAATTTGCTTCCTCTCACCCTTCCGGGAGGCGAAAATACTGGGCGGTGAGCAAATCCTGAGTTCAGGAATGTTCGAGTGGACCTGCATTTCTCAGGAAACGAAACTTGCTATGAAATTGCACTGAATAGGAGGTCGGATTGTTACGATTTTGGATTCAAGTATTTTTTTAATAGTACATCCTCTAAGAAATAAAATAATCAAGATCAATTGAGGTGTTATGCAAGATATGCCACAAAAGAAAATGTCTTAAATCGTGTGTATATTATACATTTTTTTAATGTCGGTAACTTGGAAAGGGATTTCTTTGTGGTTTTGAAATTAACAATCATTTTTAATATTCGATATCTTCGTTATTTGCATTGGAGATGAAACAGTGCGGCTTTTTGCTCGTACCTAGAGCTTCATATCTTATGGAATAGAATTAATTAATGTATTTGAGCAGCCGGATGTGACATATCTCAGTAGTGTCTTTATTCATTTGTGCTATACCGAACGTGAGAAGTGTTGATACAGTGGAGGCCATGAAGCATATTGGTCAAGTCAATTGATTTTAATTAGTCGCATGAAAAGTGTAATTTTGAAAGTCCAATTAGCAAGAGTTAATAAAAATAATGTTCTGCATATTTTTCTCATATTTCAGTGAGTAGGATCATGAAATATGAGGCGCGTGGCAGTGTATAGTAATTTACGTGATTTTACATTGCAAATTCCTTTGAGTATTGGAAACACTCATGACCCTTGTTTAGTCTACAAACATTTTCCCGACGTCAAAATGAATGCTAAATTAACACGTGCAAATTCTGGATCAGGGTTTTTATATCCAATGAACAATTTGTGAAAACGTATTCGCCGTCCAAATAATTCCAAAATACATGGAACGATTAAAATCGTATCCCAGGAATTTTTTTTATTGCTTCTTACACTAATGTTATATCATATGCAATTATCATGTACAAGTGTTTCACCGCTTCAGTAGGCGAAGGTTATCTCATACTCTTCTCCTTTGTTTGTGTTCCAATAACACGTTCTCATCCGGCCATAGGAAACGAAACGAATATTTTGTTTCTTATAGCCCAGCATATATCCGTTTTACTTTGAAAGTACTAATGTGCATCGTATAGCTTATCAAATAGTTCCGCTTATCAGTCTACTTGTGTATTAAAAGTTCTTGCGTATTGAAATTACAAAAATTAGTTAGAGCACTCTTTCATTAAAATTCAACTGACAATGCTTTCTTCTCATTTTTGCCTTTGTCACAACGCTTTGAAAATTGTCAGCTAAAATCACATTACCATTACAACCATCTCGTTTAAAGTACATTTCTTATTAATTGTTTTGAAATGTCCATTTATTTATGTTAATTTTCTAATTTATTAAGAGACATGCATGAGCCTGAATTACAATCAGCTCATTAAGTAAGCAATAGTAACATTTCAAATTACCCATTTCCCCGAAATTTAATTT